TGAAATAGACTTAAAACGAAAATGAATCTTAAAGCTCTGCTATTCTCTGTAAGAATATTTACCTTCTGTTTTTCTTATTCTTTATGGGTGAGAATGACAATACACCTTTATGTATTGTCTGGACTTCAATTTATAATGGATCCTCCTGGCAAGATCTGTTCAGAACATTTTCAACTGCTTGATGCCCTACTTTTAATCAATTAGAGTCTTGAGCATCAGTTTCCCCCTTCTTCAGTCCCTAAATTCATTGAATTTTCTGAGATCACACATTCAATTCTCCTTGAAATTCTGTACCATTAGCCAAGGTCTTCAGGGAATTTAGATGAGGGCAAAAGCATCACATATAAATGAACAGTGTTTTAGGTCTCTGTTCTTTATATATCACTGAAATCTAGGAGATGAATTTGCAATCCCTATGGCCTTATCTGTCAGTTCTTAATAGAATCACTACATTGCTTCCATATGTTCAGTTACTACACTTCCTGTGTTTCATTTTGGCCCATCTCCATACTCTGTGACTATCTAGTGACTTTCCAGTGGAATATCGGAGCCTCACTGAAAATTGCAGTGTTGTGCATTAAGTCCCTCTTTGTTTGGGATTGTACCAGCTCTACTAATAATCACTCTGCTAAATGAATACATATCTCCATTTTTTCTTTTTATTTTTTTGTCTAATGTTTATTAGTTCAGTTTTCTCATTTCAACCAAATGGGATAACCAGTTTTTCTATTTTTAAGTTGCCCACTGCCTGGAAATCATCATAGGCATCAAGTACACATGGAGTTCTCAAAGCCTCTTCTTCCTTTTAGTAGATTCAAAAGTGTCTTTCCAAATGAATGTCCACCTGGAACCTTAGAACATGATCATACTTGGAAATAGGGTTATTGCCACCATAATTAGTTAGGGATTGAGATGAGATAATACTGGACTACGGTAGGCCCTAAGTCCAATGAGAGTATCCTTAAAAGGACAAAAAAAGGATACAGAGCAGCACAGAGAAAAAGGTAGTCTAAAGATGGAAGCAAGATTGGAATAATGCATATGCAACGAGGAGCTCTAACGATTGCCTACCACACAGAAGACAGAGAAGAAATACAAGACAATTTTTCTCAGAGAGCATCCAGAAAAACCAACTCTTCTGACACACTCATTTCAGATTTCCCCAGAACTATGAAAGAATAAATTTCTGTTGTTTTAAACCAGCCAGTTTGTGGTAATTTGTTACCAACACTACAAGAAACTTCCTCTATCTGCTGTCTCTGGATCTGATCAACCCACTCTGTCTGTCTTCTCACTTTGTTTCAATTCTGCTCAGACTGCCTTGGAATATTCTTCCTATATCTTAAACCATATTTTATTTATTTTATTTTAATTTTATTTTTCTGAGACAGGGTCTTGCTCACTTGCCCAGGTTGGAGTACAGTGGCACAATCACGGCTGACTGTAGCTAGGACCTCCCAGGCTCAAGTAATCCTCTCACCTCAGTCTCCTGAGGAGGTAGAACTACAAGTGCATGCCACCACTCCCAGCTAATTTTTAATTTTTTTGTAGACATAGTATCTCCTTATGTTGCCCAGGTTAGTCTAGAGCTCCTGAGCCTAAGTATCCTCCTTCTTCAGCCTCTCCAAGTGTTGGAATTACAGGCGTGAGCCACCATGTCTGGTCCTAAAACCACATCTTAAAAGGTGAACAAAGGAGCCCATCTAGAAAAGGGTGAGGAGTCTGGATATGTGATTAGGTTAAAGTAGAAATTAGGGAGACCTATATGTTATCTGGAAAATCATCACAGTGTGGGCCAGGTGTAGTGGCTCATCCCTGTAATCCAAGCACTCTCAGAGGCTGAGGTGGGCAGTAGCTTGAGTTCAGGAGTTTGAGACCAGCCTGGGCAACATGGTGAAACACTGCCTCTACAAAAAATACCATCAAATTATCTGGGTGTAGAGGTGTGGGCCTATAGACCCAGATACTGGAGAAGTTGAGGTGGGAGGATCAGGTTGGGCCTGGGAGATGGAGTCTGTAGTGAGCCATGATTGCACCACTGAACTCTAGCCTGGGTGACAGAGACAGACTCTGTCTCAAAATAATAATAATTATTATTATAAATAAATAAATAAGCAATAAATCACTGCTGTATACAAACAGAACTTGCAATCTCATGTTAAAATGTAGGTAATATGTATTGAAACAGTTAACAAACAACAAAACAACATATAAATGTTGGTTATGGTTATTATTTATCTAGACCTAGATATTAGGGCCTAAGTATTTTTTCTAAATATCATTAAGGAGAACCTTTTTAATAAAACGTTTTCATTAGTAAATTATATGTTTTTACAATAAATCATGAATCATAATATACTCTTGGTGAAACCACTTAAATAGAAATGAGAAGGCCATTGGCCAGACAGCAAGATAATCTGTAAATGGTTCAGGCATTAACTAGCTGAGTGAACTTAGGCAAGTGATCTAACTTTTCTGAACCTGTGTCATAACATGGAAAATGTATATAAATAGTCATACAGGGTGGTTGCTGTGAGGATATAAAAACACTTCCTGAGCTAGAAAGCATTTTTACTCTAAATTTAAATGATTTTGCATGATGTCACTTCCCGATGTTTTCTAGGAAGTTCTATCACTGCCCACTGCCTGTTTTTCTTGCTAGAGAATGTAGAGGAGTTCCCAGAAATCCTTGTGGTGTCTTTGGTAAAATTTCAGTAGCTGGCTATGCTGAACAGAGCAACTTTATTTCATGGTCCTTCATGTGACCATTCTGCATAGTTGATTCTGTAGACATCATGACTGGTATTTTTGTCTAACTCTGGGCAAAGTTACTACCACAAACTAGAATTTTTCTTTCATTAATTGGTTTTTGCACTTTTTTATACTTCAAAAATGACAAACCAACATTATTCTTCTTATCACTTTACCATTTTTGTTCAATTTGTTGTCTAGGTTTGAAAAGGGTGTTGTTTCTAGGGTTCTTATGAAATATGTTCATTTATTTGGGTTTTCAAATATTCTTCATTTGGTCTGGCTTTTAATAAACAGACACTTGAAAGTCAGGATGCTCTACACTTTGTTCTGTAGTATGCCAAATTAATGTGTTTTCTTCTCTTACCTTTTTCAAAATTTGTAATTAATGTGAAACAAAATCTTTACATTTATTTATTTAATCTTCGTTAATAAGTTATATAAATGAGGGCAATAAATCAACTTTACACATGTTTAAGTTTACAGAATTTCAACCTAGAATTATCTAAATGCCCAGACTTCCTTTTATTTTTAATATTTAATTCTATCAATTCAATTTCTTGAATAGAAATTTCCAGGAAGAGGCTCCTGAAGACTTAATCATAATTAACCTCAGAGGGACCAGTTTGCCCACTCTTTAGGAATAGAAACTTTGTAATTCCCTTTTCTATCACTCCCCAACAAAAAGGAGGCCTTTCACATTTTAAATATTGGTTTTTGCTGCTTCTACACATGGCAAATTAATTTGGCTTTTATAATGAGGTGGAATGTTTCAAATCTAAATTAACACCTTTGGCTTTACTTTGTGAGAAGACCTACTCATTACTCTCCAGTAACTTAATGGCTGTTCTATTCTATGAACCAAAATAGTTTAATGTAATATGACATTTATGACTTCCACATAATATCAACTGCTGAAGTTTGAAAAAAGGTTTCTATTCAGAAAAAAACTCAAACTAATAAGCATCCACCCAATATTAAAATTGGGTCAGAGATCCTTTTCACTTTCATTACATATAATTTATGCCACTTGAATGTAGTTTAATAAGGTCATAAAAATGCCAGTTGTGGTATCTCATAATACTTTTTATAAACTGGTTTTACAGTCTCTCCTTTGTTCTAAAGTTCAAAGTAACAATTGTAACACACAGGTTGCTTAGGGATTCTTGAAGTTTTTTGGAAAAATTGAAAGGTGAATATGTAAATTATGCATCCATGTATTCAATACATAGCATTCATGAAAATGTATATAGTATCTACTTATGGGCCAAAAACATGCTATTTACTTAAGAAACTTTTTAAAAGATGTAAAACTGCTTTTCAAAATCTTGGTAACCTCTAAAAGACACTCCTTTGTTCCGGGTGCATTAAAGTTGATGCTTTTTGATTAAAGAAAAAAAAAAAAAAGAATTGAAGTAAAGGCTAATTGTATATTATTCATCTGGCCCTACCGACTTGTTAAGATGAAATTAAAACTTCCCAACACTTATTCCTCATTTGGTCAATGTCAAAGAATACTCTAAGGTGCTCTTACAATAGAGGCATTGTCAGCTTTCCATGACTTCATTCACTCTCTGACCACTGCCTTACTTCCTGGCTGAAGTAAATAGGGCTTTGCGAGTACTTCCCTGAAGTCATTTCAGAGGAGATAAATAATGGCTGCAATGTAATATTGTGATAGTGCTAAAATATTTCCTTCAAGTTTCAACTTTGAGCACAAGTTTCCAATAATATGTAATTTTTCATTTGTTAGCTCAAACCTTTGGTTTTATTAAATTCTACAGCTGTACTCACTATTTATGCATTTGGTGACCAACCTTGATATATTATAATAGTACAGAGCTAAGACTTTCATATAAGAATAGAAAAAGTTTCAAAAATCACTACTGAATCAAACATGAATATTTAATTCAATTTGCTTAAACACCAGTTGAGCAAAAGCATGAGCAAGTATTTCAGTTTTTGTGTCAACATTAAAATTGGTATTCCCACAACTTGCTTCATCTTTCTGAAATCTTTCATAGGTTTATTTTTATTATCAGTGAAGAGAATTATTTATAAAGACCACTATAAAATGTTACTAGTCAGTGTTCAACCACTTTATAGAGGTTTCAGTTAAATTAATAATTGGTGACTATGGACATATTCCTTAGAAATGTTTGTCTCATTCTGCTCATTACATTGTTTTTGTCAGGGAGAAAAACACAAGGGTTTCAGTTAGAGGAGCTGGGTTCAGGTCTTGTACTTACTAGTTATGTAATCTTGGACATGCTACTAAGCTTTGGGTTTTCATTTGTGAAGTGAGAATAATGACAGCATTCTATAAAATCAAAAACAAAACAAGATGTAATGAAAACTAGAACACATACCATAAAAACAATACATAACCATTATCATCATTATTAGAGGAAAATAATGAGGTTAGTGCATTAAAACTTTTAATGGCAAAAACTGCAATTACTTTTGCATCAACCTACCTAATACATAATGGCATATGAAGCAGTGACTGCGGTTTGCTCCTGTTTTCTGCAGGATTCAATGAAGATCCTGCCTTTTCAAGTCAGGCACTGTTGTTTATCGAATATATCAATGCTAGCATTCAGGAAGGGCTCACTCTGGCACACATGGGGCCCAGGAGCAAAGGTGATTAGAGGAAATTATCATGAAGTTACCAGGATTGGGGGCCAACAGGGCAGGAAACTTGACTTTTGGGAAGAGGGGCTAGGAAACACTGGTTCTAGGGCGGGATCAGGACTGCAAACAGCACGTTATGACTGTGTAGATTTAGGAAAAGAAACAATATTTCATTGGTCCAGGTAAGCTAAACACAATTGTCTCCTTCACCCTCAGTCATATACCCTTGAGTCTGAACTTAATACACAGTCCTGATTTCCCAGCAGCACTGGTCTTGAACTTGGGCAGAAACATACTCTTCCTAACTTCATATAAACTTTTGGTTGGAAAAGATCTTTAGGTTTACAGCAGTCAGCTAGTATCCCTGTAAGGAGTTCAGAAAGAAATCTAGTAAATTTTCATGGGAAAACACACTTCAAGTTATTAGATGAAACCAATACTTATAGTTATGTGAGATATATAATATGTATGAAATATAAACCATTTGTGCTTATAAATGATCTGGTTGAATGGTAGTTTCACTTGATCCTTCAGAAACAATTTTATATCATTTCAGATATGGCTTTAATTTTTCTTGAAGGCATCATGGTACTCAGTTTTACTTTTCATTCCCATTCTCCCCTTCTTAGGTGCCAGGCAATGTCCTCAGAATGGCCTTCAAAAGTTGTACCCAGAGGTAGAAGGCCATTATCGAGACCTAGCTATAGCAATGTTGTCAGAGGCCCCATCTTATTATGTACCTTTCTGAAAAATTGAAACACTCACAACACCCAAATAGAAAAAGTCATTAGGTGTATATGGTGAGGGCTGAATAGGAGGAATTACTGTGGGTGGGACTGTAATAAAGCGAAATTTATGGTCCAACCAGTGTCATTACAAGCTTACTTCATTTCATAAGAACTTAACAAGAAGGAAGCAACCTTGTAGGATTAGTGACCAGTGAAATAACCTTAGGGTGCTTTCCATTAGACCTTGAGGCCTGTTGCAACTTGTTTTTAGGGGAGGAACCTCTGAAGACTTAGTTATCTGACATGAAAACTGCTTGAAAATCCTTGTCAGCAATTTCCCAGCCGTATTCAAAGAACTTGGCACTTGGTCTTCTGGGTTACATGTTTAGGTTACTCCTTCAGTCATTCCGAAGTTCTTATGTGAAAAATTTATTAAAAACATAGGTTACACCTCAAATGTTGAAATCTCTAGCACCCTCGAGCTCCAAATTTCACAATGCTAAAGACAACAGTTTTGAGGAAGAACCACAACATCCATCCCAGAAATCAGAAATTTTGGAAAAGCACATTTTTCCCTGTACACCTGGCTCTCTTTGAGAGCCTCCTTTGAACTCAAAGGAGTTCAAGGAAGAAGAAGAGTAAAGAAAATGAGTCTGAACAAACATTTGAAATGAGATAATCTAAAAGACTGAGAAGTGAGACTGAAAATAAGAGATACTTGCAGGAAACCTTATTACTGTGACTTTGATTCATTTGTGGTTTGGAGGGCAGAACAGAACAATGTAAGCAGCTCTGGATTGAGTTAGGAACACGAGTCAAATCTGAGCTTTGACTCTTGCTAGAAGGTGGTCAGGCATGACAATTAACCTCATTGACCCTTAATTTCTTTATCTGTAAAATGGAGGAATAGCCGTGAATTACTGAGAGATCACATGTATAAGGGACTCAGTAGAGCAGTTGGTTCAGAGTAGATTTTCAATAATTTGTAACCATATTGTCTGCAGGAGCTGGATTATTCCATGATTTTTGTATGGTGTAGGAAAGAAGTGTAGGAAGAGTCCACTTCCTCCCTACACAAAATCCTCTTTTTTAATCACCCAAATTCCACTGAGTTAATTGTGAAAGTGTTTAGTCCTTGTGTCTTTCAAAACCCATCCTAACTTCTCAGATGCCTTTAAAATCCCAAGCGCTGATAGAAATTCTTACACTCAAACATTTTCCTTAATTGTTACAGACTTGGCTAAGTCTTGTGATATTCTGGAAAAAAAAAATCCAGTCATGAGAAAATGACATAGAAACTAATCTAATCTGTTTTTCTTCCCTACAGGAGATATTGACACAATGTCCATTCTTTATTGCATAAGATAACTCTCTGTCTTTAAAATATTTCCAATTGTTTGAAGTCAAACTAAAAGTATGCAGTAAATAAAAGGCATTATCTAAAATATCTGAGTTTGAATTTGGACAGCAATCGTGAGTAATATTTATACAATGTTTTAGAATAACAGACTCATATAATTTTCCAGTTGACTATGCCTTAAAGATAACAGAATATTTATATTTGTTGGTGCTATGGCTTACTGTAAAAAAAAAAAAAAACCACTTAATTCAAAAGGCTTATAAAACAACGCTTTGCTTATGGCCCAGCACAGCAAAGGAAGGTTTCATGCTTTTAACAAATGGATGGGCATTGAGAGGACTTCAGTGACAATCTCATGATGGCTGAACATCTCTTATCAAGTCAAAGGATATATAGCAAGTTTTCTCTTCATTGAGCCATGATAGATAATCCATTTTCAGGTAGAATTTGGTCTCATTCTCTTTATTAAATCACTAAAATATTCATGCCTAGTGGAAGAAGAATTAACTGGAGTTTTATAAGCTTAAAGTCTAATAGTAGATATAGTAGACTATCTACAAAGAAGGCCACCAGCTTTGTATCTCTCTTATGCCTGTTCACACGTGACACTCCGCCTTTAAAGAAGTGAAGACTCTTCTCTCTCCTCCTGCATCTGGGCTGGCCTTGACCAATACAATGCAGCAAAAGTGACTCTGTGCTATTTCTGGACCTTAAGAGTCCAGATGGCTTTTCCTTTTTCTCACTTGAATGCCTGCTATCTTGTAAGAAGTTTGAACTTCTTAATGAATAATGGGAAACCATTTAGAGAGAGAGGGCAAATGGAGAAATAATGAAGCACCCCACCCAATAAGCAGCACCAACGTCCTTGGAGATATTAGTGGGGCAGATGGTTGCTCCAATGCAGATGAGCTTCCAAATTTATGCAGCAGCATGAGCAGCCTCAACACCATATGGAGCAGAAGAATCACCTGTCTCAGCCCAGCTAACCCACAGAGAGAGAATCTTTCTTTGTTTTAAGCACAAAGTTTGTGTGATCTGTTATAGATCAAAAGAACAGTGAATATAACCTCATTGACAGTATCAGAAAATGGAGGGTAGCAATTCTTGAAGTTGAGCTTTGTAAATTGCATAGTCTTAAATGTAGTAATCCTAGCAATATCAAGGATCAATAATTCAGGTTATTTTTCAAAGAAAAAATTATTGTATTGAGTTATGACTACCTTCTTGTTGATATGACTTCAAGTGTTAGTTACATTTCTTAACTTTTGCTGCAGCAGTTTCTCATGCCTGAAATTGTCAGCCAGAAGCTCCTTCAATAGCAGATCTGGTTTTCCTCAATTAAGTTTAAAAAAATGTATAGACAGCAAACACATACCACTGGTATACCTCCTAACATTGTTGTGCAAATAATTAATCTGAAGACATGGTGTCTTACAACAGATTTGTTGAAGGAGTTTGGCAAAGATTTTAAGCTACTCAGAGAAGTAGGGCTTTCATGGTAAACAACACTAAGTACCCTGTCATGCACACAATTCTCAGAATGTTTTCTATATTAGGTAACAATTCAGGACATAGAATCTAGTCAGGTGAGAGGGAGTGGAAGCCTGAACTGGGGTCATGATAGTGAAGGCAAAAAAGGTGAGATTATGACACAGAATTTGACTACTCTTAATATATGGTGGGGGAGAGATTTAAAGGGATGAGCCAGAAGCGATGCTAATATCTAATCTAATAAAATGAATGTGGTATAACATGCTGCTTTCTTTCTTGTGGTGTACCATCAGGCCTTTAGCAAACCATCTTTTATGGATACAAAAATTCCTTTGACTTAATACTGTCCTGAACTCCTATGGTCTACAACCACAGGTTCTCTTAAAAGTAATTTTTAAAGTATTCTCATTGGACTACTGGGCATAGATAGCAATTTTGATGAGAAGAAATATAAATTTAGATTTTAAGTTGGCCCCATGAAACCAAACCAAAACAAAACAGAAATCCAAGAGGGAGTACAACCAATCAGGATGATGTCTTATACTGCAGTTACTCAGGGACTGAGAGCACATCTAAGTTTACCCCTGACTAGTGCTTTATGATTTCCAGCAACAACTTTTCCTGAAAAGTTCAAATGTGACTAAACATCACAAAATGTCTTAAGGAAAATGTTCTTTGAAAAGCAACAGATCCTCTAGCAATTTTTTCAGGAGTCTCATTCCCTTGCAAAATGCTTAAGCAATTTATGATTTTTTTCTTGGGCTTTGTCTAGGGTAAGACATTCTGCTCAGCTTACTCATAGAAAATGTTCATGTTCATTGGCTTTTAGGCATATTCTCAGGGAAATGCCATGTTTCCTATCTTTTCCTCACTACTGGAGTGTTGAAACATTATATACTATGTAAAAAATAACCAAAACCAAAAATCCTCCATGAGTTCCATAACCACTCCAGGTACATTTCCTCTCTCTTCTCACAGCCAAACTTCTCCACATCATCCACTATTTGTTTCCTAATAAAGTCTAAATTGGTTTCCATTCCTACTACTTTACTAAAGTTGCTTTTACTATGGTTTTCAGTGACCCTGTGCTGTTAAATCCTATGAGCAATTTCAGTACTCGTCTTTTTTAACTACTTCTCAGCTTTCAGCATAGTTGATTGCCTTCTCCAAGAACTTTAGTTGGCTGTTGTTATAAATAGAATATTTATGTTTCTTTCAGATTCATACGTTAAAGCCGTAACAACGAATGTGATGTGTGGAAATGGGGCCTCTGGAAGATAATTAGGGCTAGATGGGGTCATGAGGGTGGGGCCCTCATCATGGGATTAGTGCCCTTACAAGATGCATCACCAGAGAGATCGCTCACCCTTTCTCCACATGCAAACATGAGGTCACATGAGTAAGCAATGGGATGGAAGCTGCCTATAAGCCAAGAGAAATCTCAGAACTAATCCTTTACCCTGACCCCACAGAAATCTTTGTGGCTTAACACAATAAAATTGACTTATTGCTTATGTAGCTCTCCTCTATAAATTGGCTGGTTCTCAGAACAGTGGTTCAGGATCCAAGGCTTCTTCCACACTGTGGATGAGCCATGTTCAGTATGCGGCCTCCAAGTTTACTGTGGAAGGAATAAAAGAATGAAGGGATTGCATGTAGGAAATTTTTATGGAACTTGTCTGGAAGTGTTGGGCATAACATTCATACAAATACATCACTGGTTAGAACTCAGTCACATGGCCCTACCTAACTTCAAAGAAGGCAGGAAAATGTAGTTTAGTTATGTGCCTAAGAAAAGGGGAAGAAACATGGATATTGGTGACCATGAGTTTTCTTTTCCATGACTAGTCTTTTAGCCCTGTCTTCAAAACAGATCTTTCATTTATTTCTTGTTCTCCATTGACAACATCTTAATCGAAGCCACTATACTCTTGCATCTGAGATACTGCAATAACTTCCTAATAAAGTTCTATTTTCACAGTTGTTCCATTCTTCCCCCAGTGGACCAAGTACTCTTACACATGAATATAAACTTGTCAACTGCTTATTATTATTTACATCTTGCAATGCTTGCCCATTATCTTAGGAAAGAATCAAATGCCAAAGAGGATGTAAGAGGTTATGGTCTTCCCGTTAACCGTATCAGCTAGCTTGCTGCTCTCTCTCAGTCACTATTATCCATACACAGGATTATTGGGTCAGGTCTTCCCTCCTCTGGAATGCTTTTTTTCATTTTTCTTAGTCTTGGACTCAGCCTTGGCCTTAGCTTCTTACTCATCCTCCAAGCCTCAGTTTAATCAGTGAGTGTTAAGTTACTCACTCCCTAAGGGATGTCATCTTCCCTAACACTTCCTCAAGCTCATGCCCCAACAAAAGGCTGGGTTTCCCATTATTTCCCTTTTATAATATCTGCAGCTATTGCAAATTAAATAATCTTTGTTTTTAATCTGTCTGGCTCATTAGACTGCACTCTTTATTAGGACAGGAAATGCATCTCACATCAAGGTCACCTGCCTGAAGCACATAGTGTCTTACAGCTAACAGCAGTGCTGTGCTGGAGCCTGTGTGTGCTGGCTTCAAAAATACTGTAAGCTGGTTGTCAAATAGCCATTATTAAAAATTAAACAATAGCAACTTACAATTAAATAAATTATATTTAAAACAGAGGTAGTAAGTGCCAAAAAGTCATTACTTCTTAATTACTACATTTTATTGTCTATGGTTTTATGGTTATTGTATCTATAGGTGGAAATACTGAATAACTGTGCTAGGTATATCTCCTCTCAATTCTATGTTCAGTGAATTAATGTTGGTAGCTTGAAATTGCTCATGGAGGATCTATTAACACTTTGAAAATGGGAAAATACTACAAATCAGGGTTCCCTTCCACTTACAACCAGTCAGTTTTTAAACCTTTACTAGCACACCACCACATAATAGATACTTGACAACTATATGTTGAATGAATAAAAGAATGACAACTGTAATGCTACTGTGCTTTCCTCCACTGTTAACTGCAGAAATGTGGATCATCCCTTGGCTTACTACAACTTTACCAATCACCTAAACAATTCAAATTACCACTGCTTTACCAGTCATGCAGATAAATCAGATGTCTCTAATCTATTCACATAGTTTCAGCAGAAGTGCATTTTTGCCTGAATCACACAGGTCATTTCCTTGGTTCTCCATTTAGTTTGTAAGTAGACTAGCCTCTGTTCTAGCAGTTAAAGGTCATTACAGCAGTGTTTTCCAACCATCCTGTCGTGTGACAGATTTTCCCAGTTATTTTTGCCAGTCTATCAGAGGTCACTAAAATTGATCCAGAAACATGCATAACACAATTGTTTAGTGTCACATGGGATCCATAAGAACATGTGAGTTAAATGAGCAATTTAAAGATACTCTCTAACACCTCCACATTAATTCGAAATATTTTTCCACATCTTGGGAGACTCTGGAATTAGTGAAGTCAGAGCTCTCGGCAGGGCAGAGCCTTTTAGATCTCTGGTCACCTTTGATTCAAGAGCATTTTGCATATGCAAGAGCATAGTAACTCCTGTGGCTTTTGACATAATCAGCTTTAAACTGGCATTATTTATCTGTTGCCTTGTTTTCATCACTAAACACAAATTCCTTCAAGTGAAGAAACCAGTTTACACCTGTCTCTCTAGAAAGCCCAGATGGAGTTCTGCAGATCTTAAGCATTCAACTGATGTTTTTGGAATTAGGGACATCCATCTCCTTTGTACCCTGGCTAGCTCTCCAAGGTGTTCTCATTGAACCTGGAAAACTGTAAAGTTTATACTTTTCTTGGTTATTAGAGTGGTAATTCATAAGAAATGTTTAGGAAATAGGCAAACATAAACATTGAGAAATTAAAATTTTTGAAATCTTAACAATGGCTAACGCACATGAAATTTAAAATTTTTTAGATAAATAGTTTTGTCACAAATTAACAGTGTAATGGGATTTGATTGTAGCTCTATGGCTGTTTTTGCTTTGCCATGAAATTAAAATAATGTTCAGTATGTACTATCATATTTTCACTGACTGTGGTTGCTGCTTTAGTGTGGTTCACAGCTGGAATATAGAAAACAAAATGAATCACGAACAGTGTAGGGATTCATTTGTTAAAAAAAAAGATGCTTCTTTTTCAGATTTTTTTCACATTTTCAGGATTAACAACAATAAGCAAACTGGCGCATCTACTGTTAAAGTTCATAAAGTTTTGAAAATTATTTAACCTTCATAAAAGCCTGATAAACTCTTCATAATATGTCTGTGATACAGAGTGTGGGCACCGTTCTGTCTGGCCCATGAACATTGAACCACGCTGGCATAGAAGGAAGTGAACTTTGATGGTGCTATTTTGTTACGTTTTTCCTCTTCCAGTATCTGCTTGAATATAGCTGCCTAGGCTAAGCCTGGTCCTGCTGGGCTGAGTCATCAGCTCTGATCATTTATCTGATTCTGTGTATTGTGGTCAATAGCAGGTCATGGGAAGTCATTTCCAGGACGACTGTGACCACCTATTAAGAGTCACACTGGGCTAAGGCTGAGCTGGCCACTGCAGCATGGGTGTGCTCTGCCTGCTGCTTCTTAGCTTGCTGCAATTAGCCACTCTTGGTCAGGTGCTGGCCACAGTCTTTTGGGGGAATGATATGTATCCTTTCTGGTCTCTGAGTCTGACAATAAGCTATGCATATTTAATGCAGCAAAAAGTGCCACATTAAATACAAGTATATATTGCATTAAATAAAGTAAAAAATACTTTTACTTTATTTAAAGTAAAATATTTTTAAATACTTTTATACTTTATTAAAAGTATGAAAGTAAAATATTTTTTACTTTTTTTTACTAAAAGTAAAAACTGACAATAGAAATTCGGTATTGAGGAGTTGTCTCTGAAGAAATCTCAGACTTTTACCCCATGGAAAAGTAGCTTGAGATAAATACTCTTAAAAACAAATTGACAAATAAAATGAATTAATTTTTTAATATGACAGTTATGCCCAAATAGGATGTGAATAGCAGTTATGGATGTGTAAAATCTTGATTGCATATAATAATCCATCCTAGAGAATAGACTCTAAAAATTATTATGTAATGAAAAAAAAATTTTTTTTGCTTCCCACTTCATTATTTCTGGTGAATTTTGTTTTAATTAAAAAGGATTTAAAAATCCATGGAAAATCTGAAATAGT